ACACAAAGTAGCGAATTCCAGAATAGTATTTTCCAAATATTCTTCCATTAATATACTTTACTTTATTTCCAATTAATCATTCTTACTCTTGATGGAAGAGGAGGTTAGGGAGAGAGGGGATAAGTCTGCTACCTTTGTCTAATTTATCTGAAATTGCAAATAATATTCACTAAACAACTCAATGGCAATTGGATACTAGTAAATATCAACTTTTTATTTGGGGTGAGCTTCCACAAGTCTCCTGACAAGCTCTACTGAGACAAAATGAAAATGTGGTCATTTGTGATGATGAAACTTTTAAGTAGCAACTTACATGATCAATCAGTTCACGAACCATTCCATTCCACTGTCCGCTGGCATCATCCCGGGCTCCGTATTTTCCATCTTCCACCAGCCGTATCTCATAGGTAAATCCAAGGAAAGTTGATAGTTCCCTGAGGAGGTCGATGCAATATCCCTCAAACCTATCATTCCCATACAAAGGTTTATCAGACTTCTTGAACATCACATATGGCTCTTCCTGGAAAAAAATGAATGTAGAGAGGAAGGGAGACTCTTCAGTCACTGCAGTTCAGAAAAAATGAATTGCAAATACATTTTAAATATATACCGTAATTCTAAATCTGGAAAGATTGATTTGATCATGTTATACCGATACTATCACTGAATACACACAATAATTCATTTTTAAAGTAAGTAGATATAGCTATAGTAGTTTCAGCTAAAATGTATTTCTTTCATCAATTAGTTATTGACACCAGTTGTACAGTTTGGCAATGAGCACTGGTGGAGGAAGAGGAGTGTGGGGGGAGCGCACTGCCCCTGGCAGTACGATCCTGGTGGGGTGCCATCGCGGCTGCTCCCTCATCCACGCTGGGAGCGCCACACCCCCAAGACACGTGCCACGCCCCTGTGGGCGGCGCGCCAGCCCCCGCCCCCACCTGATCTCTGCTCCCCAGTGCCGGAGCATGAAGCTCCACCGCTGGCAATCAGCATTAACTGGTTCAAGATGAGAACATATTAACACTATGATTACTCTGAAATTGAGTGATGTTGTTGTTATTCAAAACCCCATAATTGGAAAAAATGCACGCCAGTGGATTCCTATGTGGTACACCGTCATAAATATCACTGCAGGAGCCAATGGGTCAATTCTGCAAAAATTTGCCATTATCCATAAGTTCCATTCTACAGGAACTTAGCCATGTGACTAGCTGAGTCTAGTTTGCTGGATAATGCTCAATACATTTTAATCTGTATTTACCATGGCAAAAGCCATTGCTCAGTGGTAGAGCACATGTTTGGGGGAAGGGCCATAGCTCAATGTTAGACCCCTTCTTTGCATGCATAAAGTTTCAGGTTCAATCTTTGGTTTCTCTTGGTGGAGCTGGAACGACTTCTCTATGAAACTCTGGAGAGCCGCTACCAGTTGGTGTAGACAACCCTATGTTATATGGACACTGACATGACTTGGTATAAGACAGTTTCCTAGGTACCTATATTCTATTACAACAGAGCCTAGAATCATCTTAAATATGGTCACTGATTCCCCTTAAAACGTTGCTTACATTCTTAAAGCTGTGAATGCCAGTGCTTTTTCAAATTATTTCAGAATACTGAGAAAACCTTCAGTTCTCCCACTGTCTTTCATGCACACAATTTTCTGCTCTGCACCATCAGTTTACGCTTCATCATTATATGAAGAAAGAAGCCTATGGACAAATTAAACTGAGGATCACACGCAACCCAGTATTTTAATCTCTTTGAATTTCCAGGAGAAGCTTATGATGCATTTGCAGCTCTCCAGAGAAATATTTAGTCCATTAAGTAATGCATGAAATGGCAAACACATCCAACAATTGGCAGATCATTAGTAATTTGTTTCATAAGCACTGAGAATGTAAAACAAATACAGAATTTCTGCTGATTTTCCAGGACTGTTTTCAATAAATACAGTGTTCTGAGGCAATGAAGAATATAATCCTGATTCTTACTTTGAAGAAAGTAAAGAAAGTAAAGAAAGAAAGTAAAGAAATCTTACTTTGCAGCTTCCATTGCATCCGCTAGCTCTCGCCTGGCACAACTTTTTAGAATAATTAGGTCAATAACGTCCTTAGGAGGACAACCAAATTTAAGCACAAATTCGACCCACAGCTGTGAGGCATTCACGAGCTTTTTTGCGGAGAAAGTCCTGTTACTCCGCCGTGACCTCCCTGCCAATTTAGATACAGTGACTGAACTGGAGGCCCCTCGACTGACTTCAGGTCCAGTGTTGGACCATTTTGATCGGATACTCCCTACTGATGTGGATAGATTCCTCCAAGTTGGTAGGCCCACCACCTGCCTCCTTGATCCGTGCCCGTCTTGGCTGATTAGGGAGTGTCCAGATGTTGCGCGGACCCCCCTGGTTGAAATTATCAATTTGTCCCTTGACACGGGGACATTCCCAGGGGAACTGAAGGGAGCAGTGGTGTGTCCACTCTTAAAGAAAACTTCATTAGATCCCTTAGACCTATCCAATTACCGCCCAGTTTCAAATCTTCCATACCTGGGTAAGGTAATTGAGAGAGCGGTTGCTGAACAGCTTGGTAGGTTTCTGGAGAAAACATCGGCATTAGATCCATTTCAGTCCGGTTTCCGTCCTGGTTTTGGGACGGAGACGGCTCTGGTTGCCCTAACAGATGATATCCGTAGACAACTGGATCGAGGCGGGTCAGGACTGCTGATCCTTTTAGATTTGTCAGCAGCCTTTGACATGGTCGATCATGATCTTCTGGACCACCGCCTCGCAGACATGGGGATACAGGGCATAGCCCGTAACTGGTTGTGCTCTTTTATCTCTGGTCAGGGACAGAGGGTGGCACTAGGGAGGGAAATGTCGTTGCGCCACTCCTTGGTGTGTGGAGTGCCGCAGGGCGCAATTCTCTCCCTGATGCTTTTTAACATCTTTATGCACCCCCTTGCCCAGATTATCCGGAGCTTTGGGCTGGGCTGTCACCAATATGCTGATGACACTCAGCTCTATCTGCTGATGGATGGCCACACCGACTCGGCCCCGAACACACTGACCAGATGCTTGGAAGCTGTGGCTGGATGGTTTCGTGGCAGCCGATTGAAACTAAATCCTTCGAAGACAGAGGTCCTATGGCTAGGTCGGGATGGCATGGGGATGAGGGACCAACTCCCTTCTCTTGCGGGAGCCCAATTAGTGCCATTGCCTTCCGTTAAGAGTTTGGGTGTAATCCTTGACGCCTCCCTTTCCATGGAGGCGCAAGTTACAGCAACAGCCAAGGTGACATTTTTCCACCTTCGCCGCATCAAGCAGTTGGTTCCTTACCTTTCCCGCCCCGACCTGGCCACAGTGATCCATGCGACGGTCATCTCCAGGCTTGACTACTGTAATTCGCTCTACGCGGCGCTGCCCTTGAAGCTGTCCCAGAAACTCCAGTGGGTACAGAATGCTGCAGCGAGGCTCCTCACGGGGTCTTTGCCATGGGAGCATATTCACCCAGTGCTTTTCAAGCTGCACTGGCTCCCGGTGGAGTACAGGGTCAGATTTAAGGTGCTGCTTTTGACCTTTAAAGCCCTTCACGGCCTAGGACCCTCGTACCTACAGGACCGCCTCTCCTGGTATGCCCCACGGAGAGCCTCAAGGTCCATAAATAACAACACCCTAGTGGTCCCAGGCCCTAAGGAAGTTAGATTGGCTTCAACCAGAGCCAGGGCCTTTTCAACTCTGGCTCCGGTCTGGTGGAACGCTCTGCCTCATGAGACCAGGGCCCTGCAGGATTTGATTTCTTTCTGCTGGGCCTGTAAGACAGAGTTGTTCCGCCTGGCCTTTGACTTGGAGCCAATTTGATTCCCTCCCTCCCTCTTTCTTTTTTCTTTTCCTTCTCCTCCTGCAATGAGGCTACATTTTAATATTTTAATGTTCCATTATTTTAATGTTGTATTTTATTTTTGTTTTTAAGTTGTAATCATTCTTCTTGTTTTTATTATTGCTTGTAAGCTGCTCTGAGCCCGGCCTTGGCTGGGGAGGGCGGGGTATAAATAAAAAATTATTATTATTATTATTATTATTATTATTATTATTATTATTATTATTCCAAATGAGTACTCAGTTGGTCAGCAATAACTTTTAATGGGACAACCACTTTAAGAAGAGGAAGTCCAATGCATCCATCCTGTCCCACACAGATTTTATACTTTTATTTGAATTCGGAGAAGCTCTGCAAACATTTCTGTCAATCTGCTGTTCTCTCGACAATCAGATGTCTGCAACACACACCCAGTTCTAGTCTAGAAGTATACCTATAGTAAAGAGGGCTCTCCCCTGTGTCTCTGTGCAGAAAAACCATGTGAAAATTAAGTAACAGGGCTGCTAGCTTTCCAGCCCAGTTGAGAACATTTCTCTTCCGTGAAGAGCAGTCCAAGCATACTCACAGCTGTTCTCTTAAGGCCACACCATAGAGCACATTCCTACCCTGCCAGGAAAGGGGTGTGGCTACCACTTTGAGCAGCTTCCTTTTTCAAATTAATATTCAATAAGAGAGAACCACAGTAGGCAGATAGTGTGAGCATATTTCTATAACATCTATTTTTTACTTAATCATTTGTATTTATATGAATGTGAAAAGGAGATTGGGAGGAGAAACGGTGAGTTGCTTCCGTGTGCTGCAACTTTCAGTACTTGTGTTTGATTGGAAATGTAGGGTTTGTGTGTGCCTTTTAGATGTGAAAGAAGTGAGGATGTTTTGCATTCCTGTTCTTAAGAAGTGTGTGTTTGTTTGGCTACAGTGGATACTGGACTAGATGAGCCTTTGGCATGATCCAGCAGAGTCTAGGGTTCCCATATTTCAAAAAATATAGCAAACCCCCAAATTGTTGAGCCTTTTTTTAGACAAACCCCAAAGTTGTCCGGGAAAATCCAGACATATGGCAGCCCTAGCAGAATCTTCTACTGTGATGGTTATTAAAACACAAGCAGAAGTTCCTCATAGGGAAGGCAGGGTCACTATTGAACGCTGATGCCATTTATTTCTGCAGCTTATAGTTCTTAATCATATATCTTCTACTCAAGTCTGTGAGAGTAAGCTGTGGTTTGCAAGGAGGTGGTGCTAACAGTTAACCCCCCCCCCCAAAAAAAGCTTTATAATACTTTGAATAGAATATTGCCTGCACAGTTTTTCTTCCTCAATAAGTCGATTGGCAAGAATCTCCTTGTCAGTTTATACCTTTAAAAACAAGCATACCAGACGATCTGGAGATTTAACTTTAAATTCCTCCTCTGACACTGCCTCATTTTGTGGGGTTGGGTACATTACCCTGGTATCCTTTCAATCAAAGGGGTATTGAACTAGCCATAGCTAAAAGCAGAAATGAAACAATACTCAAGTAGCAGGTTAGATGCAAAGCAAATATATTACAGTGGTGCCCCGCAAGACGAATGCCTCACAAGACGAAAAACTCGCTAGACGAAAGGGTTTTCCGTTTTTCGAGCTGCTTCGCAAGACGAATTTC